GGGAGGCGGCGGCGGCGGCGCGGTCAGGAGGCGGCATTCGCTCCATAAGACGCACAGACATTTTCCCACATCTTTTGGGGGGGGGAAAGTGCGTCTTATAGAGCGAAAAATACGGTATTTCCCACTCCTGTCTTTTCATGTTCATATTTTTTGAGCTTTAGGGCAAAAGCAGTTTTGAGAAGAATACGTTTTAGGGGGCAATAATGAATTTGGCATAATGAAAAAGATTCTTCGTCTGTTTTGCTGTTCCAGAGCACACCATGGCGACACCTTTAGAAGATGTTGGGAAGCAGGTAGGAAGCAGGTTTGCTGTCCATTTCCCATCCTTTTAAGTCTGCACCTCATACAGTAGTGGCCAAAATTGTGGAAACCTTTTGGGAAAAGTGTATTTTTGAAGTTTGATGGCTAATAACACCACTTTTTTGGGGGGAGTAGTACCATAAAATTATATATCAATGGAAAGATAATTTAATCAAGAATGTAATGCAACAAAGTTTGTTCAGTTATCTGTATTGTATTCTATGAAAAGTTATAGCCAAATAATCAGAAAAAGGAAGCACAACTTGCTGAGGTTGATATCAGGTAGCTTTCCTTCATCTGATTGTAGCCAATGAGCATGAGTGTTTAGAGAGCCAATTGGGTGTCATCTTGTTTTGGCAATGAGCCAATCAGATCACAGTAGGATTCAGTTATTGATGTCATGTATTGAAGCTGAGAGGAGGACATTTGTCAGTGTGTTATGGGATCGCTATCAAGTTGGTTGGGGTTTTTTTTGTGTTCTTTCATTGAGTGAGCTTGTAAAACGTAATAAAATTAAAGTAACGGTGCAAAGAGTTGACCGGTTGCCCAGAAACTGATGTAAAATAGTATTATTAAGTGATCAAGGGCTACAGTTATAAAGAAATTAGAAGAAAAATTGGTGGAAATTTAACCAAAGGTGGCATTTCTACTGTACACTTTTCCCAAAAGGTTTCCACAGTTTTGGCCACCACTGTATAATCACTCTTCCTGGTTTCGAAGGTCTGGCGAGGAGCTTTCCTGCTTGCTGATTACATCCTCTCGAAGCAAGATCTGTTCAAGGGTTGCACCGTGCTGGAGCTTGGGGCAGGAATCGGGTTTGTCAGCATCATTATGGCAAAAGCTGCCAAGACCATTTATTCCACAGGTATCTCTTTAGTTCAACTCTTTGGGTGGTTTGGAAATCATAATATTGGGATATTTAAAAACAACATTTCATGTTTTCAAAATGCCTACTGTCTCCGACTTACAGCCATTTATTTAGTGACCACAACGGTGCTAAAAAAAAAAAAAGACTTAGGACTGTCACAGCATCCTTGCTGTTACAGTGTCACTATTTGGATACTTGGCAATCGGCGTGTATTTGTGACACTTGCACAGGGTCACGTTACCGCCGTTTGCAAGCTTCCTAGCCCGCTTCTAGCGAGCAAAGGCAATTGGGGGAAACGGATTTGCTTAATGACCCCAACGAAAAGGTCGTAAAATCAGGCCTGACTCACTAAATGGCCACATTGCTTAGCTGTGGAAGTTCCAGTTGTGGCCGTAGGTTGAGGACTTGTGAGTTAACTCGGCATGAAACTACTAGATATTTATCCTGCCTCTTATTTATTGAACTCAAGATGGCAAACGTACATAATACCCCTGTCTCTTTATTTTCACCAAAACAACAACCCTGTGAGGTGAGTTGGGTTGAGAGAGGGACTGGCCCAAAGTCACCCAACCAGCTTTCATGCCTCAGGCGGGATTAGAATTCACCGTCTCCTGGTGATTGGCCCAAAGTCTGCGGATCCCTTAAAATCGCCCCAAAAAATCCCCTAAAAATTCCTGTTAAAATTACTAGCCGGACAAATTTATAAAGAAAAATTAAGCCGAAAATTAATAACATAAACATAACATCAAAAATACTCCGACAATCGGCGGGACTCAGGGTACTCCTCTTCCCGCCCCATATTTAATTTAATTATTTATTTTATTTATAATAATAAATAAAAGTCATCCAGCTGGTTTTTATGCCTAAGGCGGGATTAAAACTCACCGTCTCCTGGCTTCTAGGCCAGCACCTTCGCCAAACTGGCTCTTTGGGATTCTGACATCTCTCCTCTTTTTTGTTTTTAAAGACGTTGGTGAAGACCTACTGAGCATGTGTGAACGAAATGTAGCCTTAAACAAGCACATCACTGAGCCAACAGGTAAAAGATGAGTAAGTTCCATTGAATATAAGTGTGGGGGGGACTGACGCTGAACAAATCCGCGTGAGATTGTGTTGAAATGTGCTTTCAAAATTGTTTCATGTTCAGCAACTAAAACAAACATCAAATTTGAGATGCATTGAGTGGTACAGTGGTTATGTTTGATTGGTTCCGGGACGTGCGATGAGTACCCAACAGATTTTTCCCATAAGGAATAATATAACGAGGCACAAGGCAGCCGACAACAACATGTTCTGGCTTGTGCGTCAAGTACCGAACAAACGATGAGTACTGGGATAAAATCTTTCCTGTCAAAATGCATTGAGTACCAAATTCGATGAGTTTCAAAGCAGTTGAATACCAGGGTACTACTGCATGTACTTCATATACTTGCTCCCGGTATATTTTTTGACTTATAATCTTGAGTGCTGCCTCTGGACAAGTGGCTAATATGTTTTATCAGTTTAATTTGGATATAAGAAGTTCTATAGAAGAACAAGAAATTTTGAACAAAAAAATTATTAGTCTATCCTGTCTATCCTTCAATTCTCATGGTTCCAATGGATATGTAAAAGAGTATTTGTGTACTAGGTTTTCTTCTCCTCTTGATTGAAGAAAAATACACTGCATTCCTCTAACTAGTACATAATCTGCAAAAGTGGTGGCTGGCTCAGGAATTCTGGGAGTTGAAGTCCACGAGTCATAAAAGAGCCAAGGTTGCCTACTCCTGGTCTAAACAATTGCAGCTGAGTGCGCTTCAAGGTCAATTCTAGATAAAGTTTTGGCAGGCTGTAAAGTGGGAAGGAGAGCCCGTGTTTTAGATTAATTGGTGAATGTGATTTATGACAGCCTTTATGGGTGGGAATTGAAACTTGTTACATTGTATCAGGGAGGAAACTTTAGTCTTGGGTTCAACCATGTAAGTGCCGATACTTTGTTTCCTGAATAAAATGTTCTTTAAGGAAGAAATCTTTGCCTTGAAGTTCTTTTAATTGGCTTCAACTATCGGAACCATGACATTAACCCAAGACACATCGCAACGGCATTGCCACTATATTCTTGTTTATTTTATGAATTGCTTGTATCCAGTGGTGGGATTCAGCCGGTTCGTGCCGGTTCGGTAGAACCGGTAGCTAAATTTTGTTAAGTTCGGAGAACTGGCTGAACCCATGCTGCTTCTGGAAGTCCGTTCTAGGCCTCGGAGGCCTGGAGGAGATCTCCCAGGCCTAGAACGGCCACCGGAAGTGCGTTGATGTCACTTCTGGAAGTCCGTTCTAGGCCTGATGGAGGCCTCCCAGGCCTAGAACGGCCCGCTGGAAGTGTGTTGATGTCGCTTCCGGAAGTCTGTTCTAGACCTCGGAGGTCTGGAGGAGGACTCCCAAGCTTAGAACAGCTTGGGAGGAAGAACAGGAAGTGCACTGATGTCACTTCCAGAAGTCCATTCTAGGCCTCGGCCCAGGCCTGCATCCACGCAGAGAACCAGATGTTAAGGTATTTGAATCCCACCACTGCTTGTATCCTAATAGTCTTCCTTTCTTGCCACTTATTATTTTGCGGATTTTTTTAGGAAGTGAAATTAGAGTTAAAAAGCTGGATTGGCAGCAAGACGATTTCTGCACTGGTACGTAAGCCTTCTCTATAGCTGGTTTGATGTTTCCTTTCCAATCTCTAATTTAAAATTCAGGATTTTATCTGAGATGACGAAAAGTGACTCGTCACCATTTTTCTCCACTTATAACCTTTTGCAGCTTCCCCATGGTCAGGTGATCAAAATTTGGGTGCTTGGCAACTGACCTGTGTTTATAACCGTTGCCGTGTCCCAGGATCATGCGATCACCATTTGTGACTTCCCATAAGCAAGTCAATGGGCGGGAAGCCAGATTCGTTTAATGACCATGTGATTCGCTTAACAACTGCTGTTATTCGCTTAGCAACCATGGCAAAAAAAAGACAGTACAATGGGGCAAAATTCACTTAACAAATGCCTTGCTTAGTGACAGAAGCTTTGGGCTCAATTGTAGTCGTAAGCTGAGGACTACATGTGTATATCAAGGCATAAAATAACCCCAAAATGTAGCTGCCTAGATGTTTTCTTCCTATCAATGCCTTTTTCCTTGCACAGCATGGAATTTACATTGTAGGCCTGCAGGTAGAACCTGACTCAGTTCTCAGATCCCCGTGGAAAATTTGAGATATGCAGTAAATAAGTATTTGTATGTGTATTTTTTCGTTTTGCTGTAGATCCTGAGGATTGCTTCAGCTGGTCCGAAAAAGAGATTGCTGACCTGCATGATCTCACCACTGTGATACTGGCTGCTGATGGTATGGAAACAGGTTTGGGAATGGATTGAGGCTATAAAACAGGAGTATGGGTTGTATAAACAGAGGCATAGAATCAAGATCACATGAAGTATTAGTACCGCTTTATAAAACCCTAGGGCAGTGATGGCGAACCTTTTAGAGACCGAGTGCCCAAACTGCAACCCAAAACCCACTTATGTATCATCGGGTGCCGAGTGGGCGTGGCCCATTGGGTGGGTGTGGCCCATTGGGTGGGTGTGGCCCATTGGGTGGGCGTGGCTGCCGTGGTAACGGCAGACTGCGTGGGACTAAAAAGTTCAATCAATCAATTCCAACTTTGCAAGATCTTTTTTTTTCCTACGAGAAGTTGAAATTGACTGATTGATTGAACCTTTTTTTTTTGCACACGGCAGCGGAGGCCTAAAGCGAAACGGTTTTATAAAACCCAGCTGAAGGCCTAGGACTGGGGCGACGGTGCGCGTGCCCACAGAGAGGGCTCTGCGTGCCACCTGTGGCACGCGTGACATAGGTTCACCACCACGGCCCTAGTGAGACCACACCTGGAATACTGCAGTGAATTTTGATCACCATGTCACAAAAAAGATGTTGAGAGTTTGGAAAAAATTCAGAGAAGAGCAACTAAGATGATCAAAGGCCTAGAGACTAAAACATACGAAGAAAGGCTGCAGGACTTTGGTTTGGCTAGTCTAAAGAAAAGAAGAAACATGGGAGACATGATAGCAGTATTTCAGTATTTGAGGGGCTGCTACAAAAAAGAGGGGGTCAAATTATTCTCCAAAGCACCAGATGGAAGGACGAGAAACAGTGGTTGGAAACTGACCAAAGAGAGAAGCAACCTGGAATTAAGGAGAAACTTCCTGACAATGAGGACAATTAACCAGTGGAACAGCTTGCCACCAGAAATCGTGGGCGCTCCATCACTAGAGATTTTTAAGAAGAGACTAGACAGTCACTTGTCTGAGATGGTATAGGTTCTCCTGCTTGAGCAGGGGGCTGGACTAGAAGACCTCCAAGGTCCCTTCCAGCTCTATTCTATTCTAATCAGTCTTCATGAGATTGGAATGTCAGAATCAGGTTGATTCAGGGAAAGGTGATTGAAGTGAGGTTCCTTCAGGTAAGGATGTGCACAAACCTTTCAGTTCTTACACTTGGCTCCCAATCAATTTGACAAAACCCAGTTTCATTCTGTGCTTCAGATTGGTTCAGAAATTTGAATTATTGGAGGAATAGCTACGAAATCACACCCACATATTTGTGCAGCTGTGATACGAACCTATATTTTTAAAAAATGTTTGTTTAGTCATCTCAAAAAGCACAATTAAAACGAGGCATACTGTACAACATTCAATTTAAAATATAAAATACAACATTAAAATATGTAGCAGTTAAACAGATCTTGCCCAGTACATTTTTTTAACGAAGTGTTTCAAATGTTTCAAAATTTTTATTAGTTTATCAAAATATAAAATACAGAAATACAAAGAAAAAAACAAAACAATGGGGAAATAAAGGAGGAAAAGACAAAGGGAGAAGAGACAAAGGTGGGAGGAAAAAAAAGCTCTGACTTCTGATTCCTTTTGGTGCAGTAAAATAAGATAACGTGGAATCATTGTTTAAAAAATTCAATAACCCATTTTGTGATCACAAAAAACTAATGAGAGAAACGATGAAAAAGCAGATACCATTCTAAAGTAAGTAAACTATCTGTGACTGGAACTGCTTTTCAGATAACAATATTGAAATTAAACCAAAAAAAACCAACCCAAAATTTAATGTAGTGGTGAGAAAGGCTCATATTAGTTCTAGGAAGATAACATCACTGCCTGGAGTGATTTTATTATTCAGTAATGGAAATTATTAATTGCCATTTGGAATGCTCCTTATAAAAGAGTCCTTGGGGAAAATAGGAGCAGAGTTGAGAATCTTTCTGTTTATTAAACAAATTTATTTTATTTCTTTATTTACAAATAATTCAAAGCCGCAAACCCAAAGACGCTTTTCCGAAAGGCAACTGGACTTTCTTGGGGTTTTTTTTTCCTTTGAAATGTTTCGCTTCTCGTCCAGGAAGCTTCTTCTGTTCTGAACTGAAGTTTGGAACTTGAAGAAGCTTCTTGGATGAGAAGTGAAATATTTTCAAAGAAAAAAATCAAGAAAGTCCAGTTGCCTTTTGGAAAAAAAAAAAAAAAAACCTTTGGGACAACCATGACCTGGACGATTGAAAATCTCCCTAGACATCGAGAGAGCGAACGTATCCACCACCCCTTCCTTCTCCTCTTCCTGAGTAAAAGACTCCCAGGGAAATTAAAAAACCAAGTGTGTAGCTACACTGCAGATCAGTGTGTGAGTGTTGCCAAGCCCGTCTCTTGCAATTGCAAAATGTCCTTTTCCTGACGACCGCAGTTCACCCGGAGTTCCAGTTAGTAAAATGTGAAGTTAACTGCTTGTATTATCCTGTAATGCAGTGATTGATTGTATAAATCAGCTTTAAGATGGGAGGTAATGCTTCTGTGTAGCCTTGAAAACCTTCACCATTTTATCTTTCATATTGCAGTATTTTATGACGATGACCTAACGGATGCTTTTTTCAAAACGCTGTCCCGAATCGTTAGCAACCTGAGGAATGATTGCACCATCTTCTTCTCTATGGAAAAGAGGTTGGTGATGTGTTTTAAGTGGAAAGCGCCCCATAAGATAAACAGGATGTCTTGTGTGTCACACACCAAGCAAAAACACAGCTTGCAACTATGGCAATATTTGCTTCCCTTGAGTTTCCAGCACCATCGATGTACAAAAATATCAACCAGTTATTTTAGACAATTTTATTTTCTAGACCAAGTTAGAAAGGGCCTTTAGTGTACAGATAGTCCTCAATTTAGACCCACAATTGAGACCAGAATCTGCATTGCTAAACAAGGTGCTTGTTAAGATCACACCCAGTGTTGCAATTTTTTGCCACAGTTAAGTGAAGCAGAGTCCTTAAGACAATCCCTCTTTAACTCATTGACTTCGCTTAACGGAAGCTGGCTTGGAAGGTCACAAATGGTGATCACATGATCCCCCAGGATGCTACAACTATTGTTAAGTGCAGGCTGGTTGCCAAAAACCAAAATTTTGATCATGTGGACTCTGAGGTTACTTAGGTCAGGGGTCCCCAACCCCTGGCCCGTGGACCAGTTCCGGGCCGCGGCATGCCAGCAACCAGCCCCATCCATGGGATGCAGGCAGCACACAAAACCACACACTCTCCAGTCCATGCAAAAACCTCTCTCCACGGAACCGGTCCCTGGTGGCCAAAAGATTGGGGATCTCTGACTTAGGTGATTGTTAGTGCAAGCACCAGTCCTACGTCACTTCTTTCGTTGCTGTGCTTTGAATGGTTACTAAATAAATAGTTGTAAGCTGAGGACTATCTGTATTCTGGCATGACTGCTCCTGCACTCTGAGCATGTTGTAAATTCTACAAAAAGAGTTACTTTTTTCTCCTCCTTCCCTTTGACTCCATTGTCTTGCCTTTATCTCGTTCTAATTATTGAAGCCGAATAAAACTGGCAGCGTTCTCATTCTAGGGCAGTGATGGCGAACCTTTTAGAGACCGAGTGCCCAAACTGCAACCCAAAACCCACTTATGCATCATCGAGTGCCGGATGGGTGTGGCCCATTGGGTGGGTGTGGCCTATTGGGTGGGCGTGGCTGCGGTGGTAACAGCAGACTGGGTGGGACTAAAAAGTTCAATCAATCAATTCCAACTTTGCAAGATTCTTTTTTTTTCCCCGCGAGAAGTTGAAATTGATTGATTGATTGAACCTTTTTTTTTTGCACACGGCGGCAGAGGCCTAAAGCGAAAAGGTTTTATAAAAGCCAGCTGAAGGCCTAGGACTGGGGCGACGGCGCGCGTGCCCACAGAGAGGGCTCTGAGTGCCGCCTCTGGCACCCGTGCCATAGGTTCGCCACCACTGTTCTAGGGGGTTGACATGAAAAAGTTCCATACAGCAGTAGGCACTAACCAGACAGAATTTTCTCCTTTGGCAGCATTATCTGAGTTACAGGCAATCTGCTGGTTCTTGGTTAACACCAGCATTTGCTGTCAGGTTGATTCATCTTCTGAAGCCCTTTGCTGTCAGCCCTTTGCTGGGAAGATGCAGCCACATTTAGAAAAATATCCTTTTGAAATTGTGCTGAGACACTTTGTTGGATGTGTTTGACCAGGTTCAACTTCACTTTAAGACAAATGGACGTTGTGTGTGAAGCCTATAATCACTTCCGAAGTACTTTGGATGAGCTGCTGAAAACCAGCGAGGGCAGGACGAAATACAGCATTCAGCCTATCGAACTGTCTTTCCCGCAGCATATTGTTTACGAGCGAGTTCCACAACTGGTGGGTATCAGTGTTGGCAAACTACTTCTCTGGTGTAATTATACAAGTGATAGAAAGTCAGGATGGTAGAACAAGCACCAGAAGGCAGCACAAGAAGCAACGGATGGAAACTAACCAAGGAGAGAAGCAACCTAGAACGAAGAAAAAAATTCCTGACAGTGAGAACAATCAGTCAGTGGAACAAATTGCCTTTGGAAGTTGTGGGTGCTCCATCACTGGAGGCTTTCAAAAAGAGACTGGACAACCATTTATCAGACATAGTCTAGGTCTCCTGCGAAAGCAGAGGGTTAGAGTAGATGACCTCCAAGGTCCCTTCCAACTCTGTTACTGTTTCTGAGTTCCCCTCAGCTTTTTCCTAACTGACCATTCATCTGCCTTGCTAATTCCCTTTTCTTTTTTGTGCTGAGTATCCAAAATCCTTTATTTTTTAATTTTAGAAGAAAGCAGATATTCTGTAGGCACGCTAGGAGGTGCCCGAGGACCATTAGTCCCCACCAGCACCAAAACCCGGTCTACCATTTCTTGTTCTGTGTGGGTTGTCATGTGTCTCATTAATGAAACACTTCAAAGAACTTTCAGGCATTTTTTAACCTAAAAAGCCTTTATTAGTGTTACAGCATGGAGAATGCCAAGATCTGAATTTCCCTTCCTTTGCACATAACATTCCAGGCATTTCCCCTCCCCTATTTTGGGGTCCTGATTCACATCTTCCAATTAACCTGGAGGGCAAAGATTCACTTCCGTTCTCTTCCACGCTTTTCTCTCCTCTCCCCTTCTCCTCTGAATTAACTCTAAAAGTACCAGACAGTTCTGCATATTTTGTCAAAGCAAGAATATTCAATATTAGCAGCGTTGACACGGGTACTGTTGTACTTCAGCCCCCTAACAAATGGCAGTGTAGTAGGGGGGAGTTTCCTCCTGCTTTCCCAACCTCATAAATAATGGTAGAGTCCTGAAATGTATGAGAGCCCTAAAGGCTGTTGAATATCTTTCCTTTGGTAGGAGCTGTGGAAGCTTAGTGCTCAGAAGATCCCCGGTGGATCCCGTCCTCAACCCCCAAGAGACTGAAGGAGGACGCAGAGGCTTCTCTCAGTGTCAGCTGACGTATATGACCTAAAGGAGTTTCTCAATGAAACAAGGAAGGAGATAGAATTCAGGTCCCTGTCAAAAACAGATTAAATATATACGTGGCCATTACTGTAATATGTTGGTTGTGATTTGCAAGAGGTATCAGCCTTTATGGGATTGCTATAGAATGGTGTTCGTTGTGGGAATGCAAAAGATCGGCAGGTCAGAAAAGTGTATTCTCGGAGGGCGTTGCTGTTCAGGCTTCCAGATGTGACTCAAACCTAGCCCAGCCCATCAGGGATTACTCTTGGCAAGTTTCTGGTCAAGCGGATTTAGTCTCCAAATTTATTTATTTATTTATTATTTAAATTTATATACTGCCCTATCTCCCTTACGGGACTCAATAAGCTTGTCTTGTTATTAAGACATTAACAGCCCTGGTGGCGCAGTGGTTAGAATGCAGCATTGCAGACTGATTCTGCCCACAGCCAGGAGTTCAATCCTGACCGGCTCCAGGTTGACTCAGCCTTCTATCCTTTCGTGGTCGGTAAAATGAGGACCCGGATTGCTGGGGGCAGTAAGCGGACTCTGTAAACCACTTAGAGGGGGCTGTAAAGCAGTATGAAGCGGTATATAAGTCTAAGGGCTATTGCCATTGCCCTTCTTTCCTTCCTTCCTTCCCTCCTTCCTTCCTTCCTTCCCAGTGGTTAGAATGCAGTATTACAGGCTGACTCTGCCCACAGCCAGCAGTTCGATCCTGACCAGCTCAAGGTTGACTCAGCCTTCCATCCTTCCGAGGTCGGTAAAATGAGGACCCGGATTGTTGGGGGCAACAGGCAGACTCTGTAAACTACTTAGAGAGAGTTGCAAAGCAGTATGAAGCGGTATATAAGTCTAAGTGATATTGTTATTGCTAGTGCTGAAGACACCTCAGCCGTTCAGTTTATGCTGCTGGAGCCTCCTTGAAAATGATTGATTTGAGTTTCTCTCCTGTACTGAAATGCCTTCTCGACATCGTGAGAGTTCAGATCCTTGGACTTACGATAGTCTTCCTGTAGATTGAACCAGGTCTTCGTAAGATTAGTTTAAGTTTCTCAGATCAGATTCTCAAACCTTTTCTTACTGGCAAAAAGCAGAATAAGCCACATGCTTAGAATAAGCACGATTCCTTGGCCAGCTGGGCTCTTCGTCACAATCTCTCTGCTGTCAGATCACCAAGCCTCAACTCCAGTGTTAAGGCAAGAACATCCATAGAAGCAAATTTATAGAAGAAATAAAATACCACATAGAAGAAGAAAAGCACCTTTGAGGCACTCATATAAGCACTCCTACCGATGCTTGAAAAAATTGGCGATGACCTGCTCTTACAATATTTAATCATCTCTTAAATTTTTTCATACGGAGTATATCTGTACAGTAAATACTTCCAGGGATTTTTATGACGGTTAAATTGTCAACAACGTCCTTACAGCAGTATCTCTCTACCCTTAGAATATTTCTTCACTACAGTATAGAAGCCTCCAAGGTGCTTTTTCAAGAGGCAACTGGACTTTCTTGTTTTTCTCTGAAGACGTTTCGCTTCTCATCCAAGAAGCTTCTTCAGCTCTGACTGGACGATGGGGAGTAGAAGGATTTATACTCCTTGCAGACAGCTGGTCCTTTGCATTCGTTTAGAGTGTCGCTGAGGCTGCAGGATGTTTCCTGCCCCGTGTCCCTTTACTGTTGAACACAGGTGCAGGCCATTGGGAATGAGTCTGTGTTGTCTGCATCTCAAACTGAAGTGCAAATGGTTTCCCGTAGTCTGTAATTTTTTACAGTATAGAAGCCGCAAAAAAAAACCTGCTCAGAGAAATGAACAGATCTTGCCACTAGGTGTCGCTATGACTTGGTGATGACTGTATTTGAATACAGTAGTGGCCAAAATTGCGGAAACCTTTTGGGAAAAGTGTATTTTTGAGGTTTGGTGGCTAATAACACCACTTTTTTGGGGAGTGGTACCATAAAATTATATATATCAATGGAAAGATAATTTAATCAGGAATGTAATGCAACAAAGTTTGTTCAACTATCTGTACTGTATTCTATGAAAAGATATAGCCAAATAACCAGAAAAAGGAAGCACAACTTGCTTAGGTTGATCTCAGGTAGCTTTCCTTATTCTGATTGTAGCCAATGAGCATGAGTGTTTGGGAAGCCAATCAGGTGTCATCTTGTTTTGGCCATGAGCCAATCAGATCACAGTAGGATTCAGTTATTGATGTCATGTATTGAAGCTGAGAGGAGACATTTGTCAGTGTGTTATGGGATCGCTATCAAGTTGGTTGGGTTTTTTTGTGTTCTTTCATTTAGTGAGCTTGTAAAACGTAATAAAATTAAAGTAATGGTGCAAAGAGTTGACTGGTCACCCAGAATGCAATGTAAAATAGTATTATTAAGTGAACAAGGCTACAGTTATAAAGAAATTAGAAGAGAAATGGGTGGAAACTTAACCAAACGTAGCATTTCTACTGTACACTTTTTCCAAAAGATTTCCACAATTTTGGCCACTACTGTAAACCGACAACTTCCACCCAGGTAACCCCTGGACTCTACAGTTCACCTTTACCTTTTTATCAGTATCTTAACATTTCTCCACTTATTTTTCCCTTCATCAGTAAAAGTTCTGTGTATTTGTTTGCTTGTAATTGTGCACCATCGAATAGAACTTATCATTCCCTCTTTCTCACACCAAGTATTGATCTTTGTGAGGACAAGGGACATGATATCTAATTTCAATAAAATTGCTAATAGAGCTGTGCAAACGAGGCTTGGTTAAATTTGGAAAGTCTTGTAAAGGCCTTCTGTACATCTCTTTTTTTTTCTTTCCCTTGATCGAGCGTTGAGGGTGTTGGACTGGATGCCCTCTAAGGTCCCCTCCAGTTGTCATGATTCTGTGGTTCCTTAGGGGGAAGGTCTTTTTTTCAAGAACTACTGTGGCTCCAAATCTGGAGTCCAGGACATCCTCTTTCCATTCAATTGCCCCATTGTGTTCAAGAGGATTGCCAGGTGGAATGAAGGGCTAAGCCAGGGGTAGGCAACCTTGGCTCTTTTATGCTGGCTCAGGAATTCTGGGAGTTGAAGTCCACAAGTCATAAAAGAGCCAAGGTTGCCTACCCCTGGTCTAGAAATTATGGTCTCCTGTTTTCTGGCCTGGAACTTTAATACTAGACCATGGCTAGAAAAACGAGTTAGAGAGAAAGGAATGTGATATGTAACTTTGAATATATATTAGCAAGAAGAAGACCATCGAGGTCCAGGTAGAAGAAGAACACCGTGGCTTCAAAATCTAAGGGACTGGTTTGGACAGAACTCAGCAGCACTTTTTCATGAGGCTGCTGATAAAAACAGGATCGCCAACATGATCGCCAACGTCCGATAATGGATATGGCACAAGAAGAAGAAGGGCTGTTATAGCAGCTGTGAGTCTGCAACCTGTGATCCTTTACAAGATTGGCTCCCTTGGTCTACAGAGTCGTTTGTATCATCAGTTTGAGCCCTCAAAATCTGCCCCAAATCTCGGGCTCTGCATCTCTGTCTCTCCCTCCACCCCCCCTTCACAATGCACCCTCCAAACTCGGTGGAATTCTTCTACAAAAGCTAACAGGCTAGCCATAGTACCTGTCCAGGGACAGGTGTTTCTCCTCATTTCCAATTAGTAAGATGCATGTTAAAGGTCTGTGCAAGTTCTCCATACAATAAAAAAGCCCTTTGTGATCTTGACTGTTTTGGGGGGGGGGGGAGAGGCAGGAGTGGGGGGGTGCTGAGAAATGAAAGGCAAGTTTAGAAAAGAATATGCAGGTAATTCTCAACTTATCACCTCTCAAGCCCAACATTTCTGTTACTAAGCATGACAGTTGTTAAGTGAGTCAGTTTACCCCAATTTACAACCTTTGGCCGTAGTTGTTATGCAAATCACACAGTCTTTAAGCTAATCTGGCTTCCCCCATGGACTTTGCTTGTTCAGAAGCTGGCTGGGAAGGTTACAAATGGCGATTACCTGGGCCCGGGACCCTGCAACCATCACAGATACATGCCAGTTGCCAAGCACCCGAATTTTGAATACGCGACCGTGGGGATGCTGCGGTCTCGTCTTAAGTCATAAGTCATTTTATCAGTGCCGTTGTAATTACAAGCAGTCACTAAACGAAAGATTGTAAGTCAAGGACTACCTGTACTAAGGGAGAACGTGGTGTGGAGGAGGGCTTGCAGAAGTTCAAAGACCAGGCCAGAGAATTTAAGAAGAGGTTGTCATTGCGACCCTGGCACTTTGTGAAAAATAAGTGGGTTTTGGGTTGCGGTTTGGACACTCGGTCTCTAAAAGGTTCGCCATCACTGCCCTATCTCATTCCAGACAAATGGCTGCCCAGTCTCCTCTTAAAAGCCTCCAGGGATGGAGCATCCACAACTTCTGAAGGCAGGCAGTTCCATTGGTTGATTGTTCTCACTGTCAGGTAATTAATTTCTCCTTAGTTCCAGGTTGGTTGACTCCTTGATTAGTTTCCATCCATTGCTTCTTGTCTTGCCTTCCGGCGCTTTGGAAAATAGGTTGACCTCCCTCTTCTTTGCACCTTCAAATATTGGAACACTGCTGTCATGTTTATTTATTATTTATTTAAATTTATATACCGCCCTATCTCCCTTACGGGACTCAGGGCGGTGAACAGGCAATAATAAAAAGTAAATATTACATAAAAGCCTGCTCTAAAATATAAAACCCCTAACAAAACCCAATCAAAACTACGCCAGGCCGGGCGCATGGAACAGATGAGATTTCAGGGCTCGGCGGAAGAGGCGCAGGTCCGCAACTGTACATAGGTCGGGGGGTAGGTCATTCCAGAGGGCAGGAGCTGCCACAGAGAAGGCTCTCCCCCTGGGGGTCGCCAGCCGGCATTGTCTGGCCGACGGCACCCTAAGGAGGCCCTCTCTGTGGGAGCNTTTGGTAGGAGGCGGTCTTGCAAATACCTAGGTCCATTGCCACGGAGCGCTTTAAAAGTTGTTACTAACACCTTGAAGCGCACCCGGAAGGCCACCGGCAGCCAGTGCAGCTCGCGCAGGAGAGGTGTTACATGGGAGTATCTAGAGGCCCCCAAAACCCC